CCCTAAGCACTAGCAAGGGCAGAACAGGAGCAGCAGCAAGCAAGGAGAAGAGCCTTCGTCTTTCACATCAAGGGGCACTGCTGCATTATTCACCCAGGCTGCTCCTACACAAGCTGAGATTTTCCATGCATCTCTCTCACCCTGTTCAAGCATCAGTTAGAAGAGCACAAAGGAGAATGCTCGTAGAAACCCAGAAAATTAGCTCAGGTCCCGGTGCATTCCCTGCACAGCACAGTCTACAAAAGAAGCCCATCTTTCACACATGATGGAAATCGCTGGTCCTCTGAAAACCAGCCAAGACAGCATCCTGGTTGTTGGAGATCACATCCAAGATGCCAGGCAGCAAATTAGATTTTCTGCTGCATTTCACTAAGCAAAGAGGTAGAGTTTTCAACAGCTTGGGATGCTGGTAATTCCCTTATGAACCCACTTCCCAATCTCCACGGTCACGCACATTTGACTTGTCACTGGCATTTTTAATAAGACTTCTCCCATTAAACCTCTGATAACCCTGTAAATTAAGCCGTCTGCAGAGCAGCAAGGAATAAACTCTAAGAAAAGAAGTTACTACTTATTCCTCCAGTTGGCAAGACAACCATGCTATGTCCCAGTGCATTCAGTGATTTATCCCTATGCTCTGCACCATCCTGCAGCTGGGAGAAGCAAGCAGACCATTAGGGCAGAAGTCCTCACTTGAAATCACACACACACACACACAAAAAAAAAAAAAAAAAAACAAACATGAACCAAGCAAGACAAATTCAGAGACAAATTTGGCCCTACAGGTGTATTTTAAATATATGAATTCCAGGCATACTAATAATGGCCTCTCCAAAATCTGGACCATTGAACAAGCAGTAGGAGGCTGGAAGTATTTCAGGTGAGAACCACCACATAAAAATAAAATGCAGCAGCCTTAAGAAAAACCAAGCTGCACTGGTAATTCATGACAGAAATTGCTCAGCTGGCTGCACCAATTAATGATCTACAAGTCCAGCCCCCAGGTGAGGCGACCTGAGGAAGTTTCTATTCAATGCTTCATCATTTGTGGATCCTGACTTACAACAGCGAGGTGGAAACAAATTTTTCCTGGTACTAAATGTACACTGCTTCATTCAGCACAGCATGGAATTGATAGTTATATTGGTATCAGTTAGGAACTCTGGGAGCCTGAAATACTGCCCAATTTTAAATAGCTCTAGTAAGGCTGGTGCTTATGCATCTCTCTGCTGTTGTCAGTGCAAAAGACACTCTTCAGAAGGGTAATTCAGAGCAACGAATTCAGACGAATATTCAGAATTGTCTTCTCTACATAGTTGTACAGGGAGCCTGCTGAAATAATCTGCATAACTATCATCCTCGGTGATCTAACAGTAAAGAGAAGGAATATTTCTCCCCTACCTTTTGCCTAGTTAACTCTGCTAGTCAAAGCAATTACACTGTTTAAATGAAAAATAGGCTGAGGCCTCCAAGCTGGGCTCAAGATTCCAAACTTCTTCAAAGCAATGGCAGGACTGTCTTGCTAGATTGAACGGTCTCTTTCTCCACTAACAGTTATTTGATGACAGTGAATATATTGCAGAACAAAAGAATGGGTTAGGCCTGTCCTATGCTTTATTACAGTGGTGAGACCTTTTTTGTCAAATGGATTGCTCAATACCATTGTCTCTCACTTTTCAGCAACAGGATGGCTTCTGGGTCCTCTGTCCCCAGTCTGAATATTACAGAGACAGCTGTCAAATGTCATTCTTTCAGGTGCCATCTAACACGACCAAAGTCGATAAGTGTCTTTTCCTGGATTAGGCTCCTTAAAAATCACAGTATTTTGAAAAGAAAAAAAAAAGTCAATCCCCACTTTTCAACTTCAATTCTATTGTCTGCCCTTGGTTAATAAACTTTCTTAGATGTAATGAGTAAGCACATTTTCAAAAGCAACCAGTGATGTCAAACACAGATTGAAACACACTGATTTTCAGGGTCATACAACACATTCTTAAAAAACAGCTGCTCCTAAAGCATCACAAGGTAGGCACCTCACGTCTCATGAACATCAAGTATTTCCCACCTCAGTATATACCTGTTAGGTTATGGCTGCTTGACCTAAGGCGTATAGGACAGAGTCTTTGCCAAACCCAAAGCTCTCTACCATCTAACATGCTACAAGACATTCTACTTTGAAAAATGTGATAGCTGTCTATTGACCAGAATTTACGTTTTTAATCTCATTTGCTCTCCGAGAACACGTTAATTTATTTTAACCAGATGAGGCTAAATATTTGTTCTCCATGAAATGTGCTACACTAAAAGAAAAAATATTTGCTTTCCTGATGCAAATCAGGAAGGAGCAAGACATTGCCTTGTTCACGTATTAGATCACATCACAGATCTGATCGTACATTAGAAATTCCTCAAAAACTCCCACCTCAAAAATGAGGTGGGAAATGCAGATCCCTTCAGTAGGGCCCTCCAAATGCTCAGTGATGCCATGCACCAGATAGGGGGAGCTGGATAATCAAAAATGGGGGTGATTTGCAACTGGCACATGGAATCATAAAGTGGAATGGGGTGACTTCAGCATACACGAGAGAAACTCATGTCTGGGGAAGAATATGACACCATGAGTCTAAAAAGGTGCATGAAGGTTCCAGCTTCAATGGAATCTATTTGAAGAAAAGCTCCACAATCTGACCTCGCTATTTAATGAAGAGCAGAACCTTTTTTTAGCCTACCAGAAAAAGCACTGTAAGCAAATGTGCTTAACAGCCGAGCAGCTTGATTGTGTTTTACAATACCTCTTTGAAACAGGGAAAAGAATTCTTAGTCTCAGTTAAAAGTATTCAGTCAAGCATTCTGAAATGTTATGTTAAAAGACTGCCATAATTTACATGACACATAATGAGTATTCATCATATGAGCCCTCAAAAGAAGATCACTGCTGCCTTATTACAGGTATTTCCCTTTGGTACACATGCAAAGTGCATCTTAAAAAGACAAAAATAACATTCCATCTTACAAGACTCTTCCCTGAATGACAAATGCTGCAGAAGTCTATTCTCCAGGTTCTGCTGCAGTCTGAAGAGGAACTTCAATTGTTTAATCAGCTCTGAAATGCACTGCTAAGCAACAGTTGTTTATAGGAAAGGTCAAGAGGGCCTAATTAACTTGTCATTGTGTGTAGATCCCCTTCCTCAGTGAAGCAATTTAGCCAGTTTCCATAACAGCTACCTGCAAAAAGGTAACGTGGATCATTCCCTGACCCAGTATTCAATTGCTTTATAGGCTTTTGCTGAAACTTCTCAGTTATTCTCCTTGACCTGTGACTGCATTTTATGGCAAACACTTCACTTCATGGAAAACACATCTACCAGGGACTGAAGGAAATAGTGCCCAATTATTTTGGCATTTTGTCAGTAACTCTAGCACACTTACTGCTGACTTGTAGTTTTTGGCCAAATCCTCTGCCACAGAAAGGTGATAGACACCCAATGGAAAGCAATGGGCTGGAATGCACTTTAAACAGCTCAAAACGTAAGGCGTTCAAAAAAACCAACACGCTTGAACTGCTGATAAACCCTACTCATCCATGCATCTGAGAAAATCCAAGAGATTTCCTTTCCTGATAAAAAGGTTAAATTTCAATAAATCTTGAATGAAGCAACAGTCTCACTCTGGATGGGCAGTGACAGAGGACTTGTCAGAGCATGGTAAGAAAGCTCCACAGCACCAGGGAACCCAGAGCACAGAGGTGTTCTGTGCAGCTCTTACACACACTGCTGATGTGCTGTGAGCATGTAGATATAGACACAGCAGCTGTATGCAGGTCACATTCAGTTATGCGTGCCAGGACTGAAAAGATTTTGGCAAGCTCATGAGGATCCTTCAGCTCCTACCTAGACACCCACCAGAAGCAGCCAGGAAAGAGATCAATAGGTTGTCTCATCTGGAGGATGAACCCTCTAACAAATGCATCCCCACTTCCTAGCACTGAGCTGAAGTGGATACTAACATTAGACACGGACCCATGAGAATCTGGCTCAGAGCTAAGAACATTATATATGGATTAATGGCAACACACCTCATCTAAGAATGAGACTACAGCACAAATACAGCACTTGCAGAAACCCCCAAACCAGCATGACGCTAACTACAGTACTGAGAGTCCAGTCTTCTCATCGCCAGGGTGCTGCCAGGTTTTTAACCTCTCCTAAAAGCAGAGCCCACAGGTGGTATTTTGTTAGCTTTACTTCTCTTGCTTCTGGGATCAAAGGTGATACAGGTTATTAGCGCTAATACATCTAGATTTCTTTCTGCATTCAAGCTGGGGTCTCTGCATGGTCCTAGCACAGACTCATTGCTACTAAGTTCCAGTCCAGTATCAATTTATGAAAACAACCCAGCTTGTTCTGAGCTATTTCTGTCATTCTGTCATATATAAGATACTATATCGTGGCAGGTAGATTATCTTACTAGAATAGTGCATTCTCTTAAACGCAATTATCTTTCCGTTTGCCTCACTATGCAGGAAAAAAGTAGCATACCACAAGCTGAACTAAACCACAGTTCAGTATTTGTGTTACTTAGTGAAAGAACTGGCTCAATGTAGTCTTAGGGCTTTGATCTATTGCTCACCAAAGCCAATGATACCATTGTAAAGTCTCCTGATAACTACTGGATTAAGAAGGGGAAGATAAAGATACATTTCAGAGCAGTACAAAAAAGGGATAAAGCAAAAGGGCACAAAAAATCCAAAACTCCTAGCAGTCATTAAACTCACCGGACAGATTTTGTGGAGTGATTTCACTACATAAAACTACTAGAAAACCCCATGAAATTTTACAGTAACTCATTTGGTTGTTGCTGTATTTTTAACCCATTGCACCGATTATAGCATGCTGTCAACAGCCTCATCAATTACCCATTGCTAAAGAGAGGGCCCTAACACTCTGCAAGTGGTATTAATTGGTCTCAGTAGCATGTAATGAGTTCAAAAAAGCTCCTACCTGTATGTCCCCGGGGATGGTGGCTAGAGGCGGACAACAATTTACAGCAGACCATTAACACATAGATCAGAAAAAGCCAGTCAGATAGAAGCATTGATTTGGCACAGAATCTCATCCTGGAGGCAGAAAAGGAAGCAGATGAGTGAAAGAACAATATGAGCAGGGAATAACATAAAAACAATGCTGGGAAGGAAAAGCTGCAAAGATGCTGAAGAATAATACATCTTATTACAAGGCAACACCGACAAAATCATATTCACAGTTCGGTTGGGATCAATTCTTTTTGAAGCATGTTTCATAGTTAGAAGCAATGCAATGGCTAACACACATCATATTACCCACACACATTTATAACACCATACGAGTGCAGTATATTTGTACAAATCTTGAGGAGTCTTTTAAGATTAAGACCCATCTACACTCAATTTAAAGATATATATTTATAAGGTGCGCTACTATTTTTAAACTGCAGCTGCCTCAAAATCATAGAAACATCACAGAAAAGTGTACTTTTTACTTAATACTTCTCATGACAAATTTGCTAAAGATACCAGGATCTGCTAGCTTTCCTGGAGATCAGTAAGTTTGCTAAGGGTTAAACAGTCATGAAGCCACCAGCTCAGTCAAATATGCAAGGATTCACTACTCTGCCAGAGTTTTAGAAACTGTATTTCAGCAAACAGTTGTTCCACAGAAGGCAGATATTGTTAGCCTCATTTATGCGTAAGAACTAAGACCACAAATCCTCAGTAATTTTGCTGCAAATACTTACGATTAAATCCCTCAATAGCTTATGTTATGCTATTCATCACATCGAAAGGTAATCTGATCATTTTCTTAAACTCAGTTATGATGATTTATTACTCGTGCAATACATAAATGGGCATTATGCACTTGAACCCTTAGATGTAACATTCCACACTTTCAGCAAATGCTGTAAGCAGGCATACATCAAATTAATTAAAGGCAAATTATAGATTTGCATAAATTGAACTAAATACCGCTATGAAAGCAGTGATGTTAGTCGGTAGTTAATCGGCACACTGGGATTTGGACGAGCCTATCACAAGCATGCGTATTTGCACCAAACAGTCCTTTGAGAACTTTTCCCTTCAGATTCCAGCTCTGATTCTTCCATGTATTTTCTAAATGATTTATTGGTATATCTTCATGATACCTGAAACTGTTCAGCTAGTCAGATCATTCAAGTGCTGAACAGCCAGACAGTTAAAAAAAAAAATGAAAATTAAAAAAAAATCTCATGCCTTAGCACTACTGTCAAAGGCAGGTGAAGCACTTCAGTCCTGTTTTAAATTTGAACACCGTCTGCAAGTGAAACCCAAAACAGGCCTCACATTTTCTCATCTATAAGTGCTTGCTTTTCCCTTTCACACATCACCAAACAATATTGTTCTCAGCATGTATTAGTGGGAACATTGATGAAGTCCAAACAAATCACTTGTTAATAGCAAAAGTTAGAGGTCAAAAACCTGTTGTAAATACATTTTAGCAACAAACACTATTTTGCACTTCTGTAACAAAACCTGAATGAAAAACCCAGCATCTTCAGCTGTCCTTGTAGACTTTACTCTAACCCATAAAGTTTTTTTTGTTTGTTTGTTTGTTTTTAAAGATCTGCAAATGTTGTGAAAAAAAAAAAACAACACATCATGCTTATAGGTTTAAGAAAAAATAATTTAAAGAAGCTACATTTTAAGGACTAATTTTGGGGAAACTAACGTTTCCTTGTGTTAAGTAGATACCCTGTTTAGAGCCCAATACATTGCCACTCTAAACACAAAAGGACAAGCATAGGAAGAAACAAACTGAGATTCTTTAAAAAAACAGTGTATGGGAGCCTTCTACAAGCATGAAGTACCCTCTTACAGAGCACTCCCAGGCTAATTCAGAGCACCTACTCTTCAGCTAATAAACATGGGCCTAATTCATCTCTGCACCCAGTGAACCACATAAAGCCAGTGCAGTTAACGGGATTGAGTCACTGGGAAACCAGCACAAATGTTGTTATTGCTGTTTATCTTAGTCTAAGTAAACAGCCCAATAGGCTTTGAATTTCAAGATTTAGTCACCCAAATCCTCCAAAGGTAACTAAGGTATCATATTTTCCAGAGCCGACAGCTGAATTTAACCTTAATTTTCTTACTTCCTTCACATGAACAGTGACACCTTGCACCTCATGCACCAGTTACCACTAAATAGGAAGTCACGATTTGCTCATTTTGCAATACTATCCTTCAGTTGCTCTAAAAACAAATACAGGAATCTGATCCAGGTATCAGTGGACAGCCCAGCTCTGGTGTCAATGTGTAGTAACATAACAGACAGTGGCCTTCCTTCAGGTGTCCTGAGGCATGAAAGTAGAATTTAATCCTTGGAATTAAATACCAGAGATCAAAAATTCTCAGCATACCGTTTCTGGTGTGAGTTGATGAAAGGGCCAGGTATTTGGCCCCAAATCATGCACTGGCAGCTCAACAACTCCTATTTCAGCATGTAAGTGAACCCAGGTGTTCCCATCATTCCCAGTACAGGAGCAAGCCTGGAAGTGTAGCTGACATCACCTCAAAAATTTTTCCAGATTATGAAAATCTGACTCTTTTGAAACCATGACCCTAATGTCAGATAGGGAATAGGAAACCACGTTTAATCAGGTTAACAAGGTAACCCTAGCCCTTTATAAGTATATTCAAGCCCAGGAATAAATACATCACTAGAAAACACGGACATATCCAAATTGAAAGGCTGCTAAAACCGACCAGTGTCATTAAAATGATATAACACTTGCAGACTTCAGTGTGTACTGCAGGTAGACAGGACACAAGTCTTCAGCCTGCTAATATAAAGAAATACAGGGGGATCTTTAAAAAGACAGAGGGAAAATGAAGTTTGGCAGACAGATGCAACAAGGGGTGCTGGGCCCTTCAGCTTCAGTGGGCTGCCACTCTCAGAAATGTCAAGCCTTCGTTCTCTGTTGGATTAAAGTGGTTATTGTTGCTAACCAGAACAGCAAATCTTCAGTGTCATTTGAAAGATAAAAAGTGTTCTTACCTTGGGGACTTGCAAGAATTTTGTTCCAGTCAAACACAATTATTTCAGTGTGTTTTTCATAGTTATTCCAGATTCCCATTTGCGGCTGCAAATAAGCCTTTCTGCATTTCAGAATTTTTTCCTTCACTTTGGGGACCTACAAAGAAAGCCATATTACACTGCAATTAATGTCTAGAATGATGCTGTGAAATAGATCTTCGTTATCGAAATCATTGTTTCACACTGCCATCTACAGTACAATCCAAGGCAAAAGGCAGCAGTCACACTGCTCTTTTCACTTGTTTCCAAGAACACAGAGAAATAGTGGTAAGACAGCTCTGAAATATCACTATATTAACTAAAAGCAGAGTTTACTCCACTGGAAATTACAAACACAATGCACACTGCTTACTGTGTCCTTACAGCCACGTGCCTCCACAAAAATGCTGTGGAAACTGTTACCTCTAGAAAAGACACCACCACAGTGCAAACAGATTTCCACATGATTACTTGAAACCTCCAACAAATTGAACCAGAGGTTATTAAGGACAGGGTGAAATCCTTCACTGTCTTCATAAAGATATGGCCAAGGAATCCAGCTACCTCAGAGCAGAGGGTCTGTAGGGCTGCATCTGTAGGATTGTGTCTGTGTCATCAATGTATTATGGCTCCCTCTGATGCTTTTGGCTCCCAGCACCACATCTCATGCCAAGCCCACCTGTACCCAGAAGCTACATTTCCAAGTCACTACATGGAGACAGTTTTGCAGCAGTACTGACGCACGTTCCACAGAATAATGAGCTCAAACACTCCATTTCACAGGCATTCGAGTCTCTTTGCTTTTATTGTTTATATTTGTTCTCTCACTTCTATCCCTGGGCTCAACTTGACCTTCTGCTATTGAAAACATGACACAGTGCAATTTGTGAGAGTAATAATAATGTGGTCTTCAGTGACGGAGGGATCACAATAACCTTTTCTCATCTTCTCCTGCCACTCCTTTCATTTCACTCTTCCTTTGATCAATTAGAAATTTGCTTTTAAGAAAGTTACACTATCACATTAGAGGGCAAAGCATCTCTGGGGTCATAAAGGCAGGTAAGCAGATCCCCTTCAGGAGCTTAGGACAGAAAAGCCCCTGGCTTCACACACACAGCTCCTTTCTATTCAGAACACCATGAGAAACCAGAGTAATTGATGGAATTAAAGAAGTACCAGGCCAGCAATCTATAATTAATCACATTTTACTCTGTCTTCATTTTCCAATATAGAGTTTCAGAATGAGCCAAAATTGTAACACAGCACTTATAATCACAACAAAATGTGAGTAAAGAAATGTCTTAAGACAAAGCACTACCATCCAACATTAAGTCTCTTATTATTAGGTCTTTTACATGTAATATTAACAAAAAATCACTGTGCCTGAAAAGATTTATTGAGAAAAACAAAACAAAACAAGCAAACAAGCTTTTCAATATAGTGCTATTTGAAGTGGTTGTGCAGTACATTTTTATCCCTTTCATAATAGGACAGATAGATAAATATATTCTTACAGCGTTCTTGTAGAAATCAATATTTCGATAAACTAAATTTGGTTTGGGAGTTTCTTTGTTCCATAAGTTTTATTGAGAGAAGGACAAAAAAAACTTTAGATGCACCTACAGGTAAACACTAACTTTAGTGTAACCTACTCTGGAAACACGTGTTAAACACTGGTTAAAGACAAAGAAGCATTGATTATTCTAACTCATTGTAATTAAATGGATACAGCATAAAAGGCAGATAATACTGCCACCAGCATATCTCGGGGCTTTCTGATGCCTTGCAGGCAGCAATATTTCTTAGGAGAATGGGGTTGTTTGAGGGAACTGTAAGGCAAACTGTTACAGAGCAATTCTGAGCCTGAGATACAGCTGTTCCATTTCAATAAAACATGGAGAACAGAACAGAAATGAGAGTCTCGCCTGGTTAATAACAGTGAAAGGAATTCCAGGCTTCTCATGACGAAACCATCTTTTGTGCGTGTTTTGTGACCGATGGTTTTAATGCCGGCCCCCGCATCGTTTCAGGGCATAGCGCTGCTTTGGAAAGAAGAGCTGCTTATTTGCAGAGTGCACAAACAAGCGAATCACTCCTGACCTGCTGCACCAAGAGCTCTGCTGGGGCAGTGGGGACTGCAAGGGCAGCCACCCACCCTCCCGCTAGCCACCTGCAACCAAACCCTGCGAGCGGCTTTAAAACAATAAAGATCAGCATCACCTCCCAAGAGGCGCCAACACATCTGAAAACAACATGTGTTTTGTGGATGAAGTTCTTGACCTCAGCGGAGCGGGGTAAATTTACTCAGGAAGGATTTGAACAGAAGTTACCCATGGAAAGCAACCTCAGAAAGAAGGGGGTTGCTTTTATACCGTGAGCTCTAGCCGGGAGGCAGTGGAAACCCCACCACCATCTCTACCCAAGCTCTAAAAACAAAGGGAAAGGAGGAAGGGTGCAAGGAGAAGGGCCCCATGCTCACAGCATTTACACGTGGGCTGGCCATGAACAGCTCCTGCTTTGCACGTCAGTCACTCCAGTCCCTGCTTCAGCTCTCCTGGGTCAGCATTTAGGGCATCTGCACACCCAAACTAAGTCTCTTGGATCTGGTATCCAAAGGAAATTGCAATGGCCACGTATGTTCTGGGACTAAGGGACTGCAGCCTGTCTCCATGGCCCCACACTTCAGTAAAGGGGGGTATAAATAGCATTGTCCTGTGCCAGAGAAACATTTCAGGAGCAGCTACAATAAAAGTCTCAAGTTATTTGGAAATTGCATGGGTGTGATATAATTCTTTTGGCAGATGGAATAAGATCGCATTTTAAAGTAGGTACTATTTCCTACCAATATTTACACGTTGCAAAATACTTCTTACAGCTACTTTCTGTAAAGGATAAATTACCAAAGCATTTTAAGCCATCTCTTATAATAAGCTATTAAATAATTTAGAGGATCTCCGTCCATTAAATATTTAAAAGGCCTTAATTTCTCCATTCTCAGTAATTCCTCGTTTAAACCAAAGATAGCGCATCCCTTAAAAGACGTTTTCTGTAAAATCACAGCTAAGAAAGAAGCAGACGTATGCACCACACATTTCATGGGGCAAGGCACCAGCTGCAGAGTTCGACCCCATTGCCAGCCCTGTTAAACTCCGCTGTCCTTCAGTTTCTTAGAAGAGAAAAAAAATACTCCATTTGTTTAATTTTAAAGCACTGCTGCTTGAGTTGGAGGGGAAATAAAGATGAAATTGAGCCAGGAGCAACAGCAAACGCCTCCTTGTCAATTTCCACCTGTCACCACCAGCTCCCTCACACAGAGGGCCGGCTGTGGGGCTCATGCCTACAGATGGGGTGGGCACTGATCACCCATTTACCCCACAGAAAAAAATCTAGTGTTCTCCCCCGGACCCGGGGGCAGGAGTCGCCCCTCAGGGGACGGCAGTGCCCATGGCGCCTCACGGCCGCGGGAGGGCGGCGAGGACATGGCGGGGACATGGCGGCGCCCCCCGCCGCTGAGGGGCGGCGCGGGCGGGCAGCGGCTCTGCCGTGTGGTGCTGCTGCCCTCTGGCGGCCCCTCGGCGGTTAAGTCAGGCCCGGCCTGCCACAGGATCCAGCAAGGAGCTGTGGGGCACGTCCAGTTGTGTCACGCCTCAGAAATCTCATTAAAGCCCATCCGGACACCCTGCACCCAGTGCTCCGTGGCAGCCAGTTCGTTGTCCCCTGCTGAGCCCTCCTAGCGAGGGATCCCTCCGAGGCTGCTGCAAAGCCTCTCATCTGCGAGCGCTCCTTTGTGCGAGAATGAGCTGTCCATGCAAATTAAGTTTTGTCATTAATCATACTAACACGCTGCTGTCACCGCGTTCCTCCGGTCACCCTCCCCTCTGGAGCCACGCTGCTGGCCGCTGTGTGAGGAGACGGGGTCCAGGGGCTGCCCCACAGGCTGCTCCCCTCTCCCCCAGGTCCTCTGCGAGCCCCCAGAAAATTTCCAAACATTTTCCAGAGATTTTTTCCCCCATTTCCATTTTCCAAATTTTCATGTCGCAGCCACAGGTGAGGTTGGCTTGATCTGAAGATTTCAAGTGGCAGCGAATTCACCGCAGCACAGTTACTCCAACAGTTAATTAACCTCACTCTAAACACTGCACCTTATTTCTAATCTGAATTTGTCCAGCTTCTGCTTCCAGGCACCTGATCTCGTTAGGCTTTTTTTCCTTCTCCTCTGCTATCAGGTACCGCTGCCCACACACGGCACTTGCAGCCTGTGGTCAAGCCCTCACTGAGCAAACTTCACATAAGTAAGATGGAAGAAGCCTCTCCTTGGAAGTTTTGCACTATTAAAACCATCACGCAGCTCTTCTCTGCATTGCTGCTGATTTCGCAGTGTCAAGTTTTTTGAAGTGAACATCAGAAGGTAAAGTAACCAGAGAGAGTCTTTATTAATACCACAAAAAGAGGTAACAAACTTTCCAGTTTTCACCTAACAGCTCCTCTTTTCAGCACCCCACAGGGACAAGCCTGGTTCTTAAAGGCCTCAGTTCTGCCCATCCTTACTCACATTAACAGCTACATCAGGCAAACTGAGAATGGACACAAAGCTATGCACATAGTAACATGAGGTCACTGTCACAGTGCAAGAAAACAAAACTTCTGCTGGTACCAGTTCCCAGAGTCAACATCAACTTTTCTGCTGCATTTTCTTCCCTGCAGGTATCACTGAGGGAGCCCCGATCACATCAATCTCCCTAGCATAAAGCAAATTGAAGAAAGAAGGCTCTTTAGACAATAAGAACATTAGTTAATCAAGGGGGCACCAAACTGCAGGTGTGTTTACTCGCTTTTAAGAAAGCCAGGCATGTAAAATTCCCTGGGAGACAGTGGCAGTTCCCAGCACCTCTCAGACATCAGCGGGCTCCTAACTGGCTTCACCTGCAATTTCCGAAGTGCTTTTTTATGACATCAGATTTCATTCATGAAATCAACCTCTGCTGGCGGCCCCTCAGTCTGTCACCACAAGTCAGCACATTCTGCAGGAATATTTGAAATCCTGACTTAACAGTAACTGAGGGAGGCATGGAGGAAAATAAAACAGTACTGTGAGAGCTAAAGGAAATAAAATTCATAGCTTTATAAGAAGGGAACACTGAACTGCTGCTATATCCACATAGCATGAGGTATTGACCCCACCAGCAGTGGGGCCATCCACACAGACATCCTGTGTGCCATATGTTTAGGTGAGATGTGTCTGTCTTCATCAGTATTCAGAGCTCTCTCTAGGGTATGTGTCTTCACTATCTCCTTTAGAGGTGAGATAAACCTTCCATCCATCCTGGACATGTTGAGCAAATGACTTGGGAGAGTTGTAAAAATATGCCAAAGACACCCTAGTTCTCCATCTCAATTGCTGTACTCTTCCCCAGTCAATTCTAGAGAGTAAGAAGCTGAGTTGTGTGGATCCTCTGCTGGAAAGTGTTCTTAGACTCATTTTTAAGTGGGAGTTTGTAGCCTTCAAATTTAATCTGGTAGAGCCCAGGGCACACAGAAGCAGTAACAGTAGCACGCAGAATCGGAAAACAAATTCAAGCAAGGGATTGAGGGTGAGAACTAGAGGACTTCCAGAAGCTCTCAAGTTCACAGAGCGTAAGGAGGAGCTTTAAATCAAAGCTGTTGCCACCTCTGCTGAGGCAAAGCAAGTCAGGTGTCTACTTAGAATCTGATGCAGTGCAAACTACAGGGCCTAGCTCAGGTCCCCTCCAGGCAGAGGAGCAGTAACTTCTTCAAGTACAATAACTCGAGCACCTGTGATCCCCAGAACACAGTTTTCAATTTTATTTACATGGCAAGTATAACTAGCAGACAAGTTATACTGGCACAAATAACTACTCACTTGCAGTCCAAAAGTATGATCTCTGCGTATGAGAAGATCATATAAATGAGATAGAATCTCATTTAGAAACTGAATTTTTAGGAAAAACATTTTAGAGCCTGCTCTCTCATCTCAAACTGAGCCAACATCTTTCCTTCAGGAAAAATTCTGCCGAGACCAACAGGACTACTCAGAAACTAAAGTACAGCTATTACAGCCGTAAAGCAAAGACAGAATATACCCTTTTCTCCATATAGCATTATTTATTATTCATCACCAGCCTACAAAGAACCCTGCTGCCAAAGTAAACACGTGAAGTGATAAGTATTTTTTTTAAAGTTTCATTTTTAAGGTTGCACAGACTTCCCAACTTGGACAGCAAACACAGGATATCTCCTCATTACAGCCCAGAGTTCCAACTCTTTCAACTACGTTTATCAGAGAGAATTTTTCATTGTGATTATCCAGGTTCTTTCAGGCCCTCACTGCAGCCCGTGAAACAGCTCAAATTCTTTCCCACCCCCTGGTGTATGGCCTACTTAAGAGATGGGAAGAATTGCAGTTGCTGTTCAAGAAAGCACAGGAATTGCCTCAACCCTGTTCAAAGAGGAGGCAGAGTGGAGGCAGTGCCCCGCTCCACTCCCAGCTGACCTCTAAGGAGCAGAGCAGTACTCTTGTAAAGCAGGCAGCACACCGAGAAACAGGTCTTTGAAATAAATCTCTCAGCAGAACATTTCAGACAAAGCAAATATGCATTTTCCCCTACTATAAACTTTGCCTACCAGGTAGCAAAGCAGTAAAGTGGTTGCACAAATTATCTCAGGCAGTAAAGACACTTTCTTGTACTCTGGATTGATGTAGGAATTTGATTCATTCATCCCACAGAAGTAAAAGAAAACAGATCCATAGCTACAGAGCAAATCACTCACCTCTCTTCCCACTCATCATGGACCCAGGTGAGCTACCTGGTGCTTTTACAGAGATCATTTGGACAAGGGATAGAAGAGAAAAAGGGGCCCCGTGTCCAGTTTGTGCCTCTGGATAAGGCACTGGGTCCCAGACCTGCCTGGTTTCTGCCTTGCTCTGCCAGGGCTGGGCTCACATGCAAGAAGCAAACGATTATCAGCTGTAAGTCACCACTCACATTAAGACCAAGAAGCAACTCCAAGCAAACTGCATGACAATTAAAAGATTCAGAAAGCATGCTCAGTGAAGAAAATTTGAAGTAGCTGTGCTCGTTTGGTGAAGAAAAGTATTTATTAGAGATGTAACAACCCTCTCCTCAAAGAGGTTTGCTTTATAGAAGAGTGTGATTTAAAGAAGTGGTTCTCTGTAGCTATTGCAAATACCATAAAAAATTGTTACCAGTTGCAAAGATAGTTTAGTGTGTGCATGGGGAGAAACTTTCAATCTAAGTGTGGGAAATGAGTGGGACAAGCTGCTCAAAGAACTCACGGAGTCTGCTTCACTGGAGTTGTTTTAAATTACCACTTTAACACCTACAGGATTGCCAAAGCTCCCTTCTGCACGCATAGGGTGGGATTACATGATGCTCAGGGGCTGTGCAGGGACTATGTCCCCTTTATGCCTCAGAACCCAGACCGCAGACAGGCATCAAGCATACATCTGTCAGAAGTTATTGGAGGAAAATAGTGGCAGAAAGAAACTAAAAACATCTACATCTATTTGAGTTTTCCATGCAGACCTGTGAGGCTGAGAAGATTTATGCAACTAAGTCCAGTTCTTTGCAAGTCTACTGCATTAGAGCATTATATTATCTTCCTGTTCCCTAAAACACCTCACTCATGGTAAATAGTTACAGCACGTCTCCTCATGCTTCCCCCTAAGTCCCCACCAGGCCATGGTGCTGACAGGGTCTGTCCATTTCTGTGTCACCAGTGTAATCTGATCTCTGCTTTCATTTCAGTTCATGAAACTCTCCTCCAAGAGAAAAGCACAGAGCAGCTCGGTTTGCTCTTAGAGCGCAAACATGCTTTATGAGCAGTGGATGCACATTGGCTGATGAAGAATCCCAACTGTCTGGGTATATGGGATAATTGTTCCACTTGGGACTCATTAGCTAATTGTTAAAAGATTCTAATGAAAAGCATTTCATAAATACAGCACTAAATTTCCAGAAGTGTAATTATGGACCGAACGCACATTTTTAGCACCTGTGTTATCAACTACACAAGCCAATAGCAAAATATCTTGTGCTGTGCTATTTCTGTTTTCGCTCTCAGTCACAGGGTAGTGCACAGGATAACTACCAGCAAATTGAAAGGTAGCATTTTTAATATTCCTATTTTTGTACAAAGATAGCGCAGTCAGCTTGAGATTGGCTGGAGATTCTGCCAGCATACAGAATCTCTTATGGCAATAATGAAGAACAAAACTTGGATAGGAGGGGAAAAGCACAGACCAAGGAGCTATAACCCAACTTCCCAATCTTTTATTGTCACCTGACTTCAGTACCCCTGGGCAGCCTTCTTACTTGGTATTAGAAAATGTTTTCTTATCAAACCCTGCTCCTCAAATTATTTTAAAAAGTCACTACTTCCTCTACTGACTAGAAAAATCCCAAATCCAGGCACCTGACCTGTCAATTCAGGAACTGTTAGTGTAAATTAGTTAATTAATATCGTTCCTCATTTTCTGTAATTCAGTGATAGAGACAAAACACTGCTAATATGCCAGCAAAGCATTTGTATGGCATGAAGATTTGGAACTATACCAATAAAACAATTGCATTTTAAAGAAGAACCCAGTCTTGTTCAATCTTTGTCCTAGTTAAATAACCAAAAGCATGTTCAGAACCAGTCTCAAAGTTGTATTTACCTTTTTCTGGCTTGGCAGCACCATGCTGGATGGAAGTACTGACCATCACAGAGGGCATCCCCACTGTACACAGCTCTGTTGGAGCTGGGGTAACAGCTTCTATTCCAACACTGGTTGCACCATCTTAATTCCCGAGTTCTGACCTCTGCTCAGCCTTGTATCATGAAGAAATATCTGCTGTTTGGAGCAAACTGGAGCAACCACCATCGCTGTAAGGGCACAGCACAGCTGGGTTTAACTCTCACTGAATTCAAGATTGTATCATGCTCTTCAGGTACCAGGAGTCTCATAAGGTTTTCTGCATCCTGCCAATTGCCTACTACTAAGTCAAAAAGAAGAATGAGCAGATATCTGTTAATTATCTCCTGAGCCATTGGTCCTGTGGCACTGGAATCAATATTACATTGCCAGAAATAAAAGCAAATTTTGAAAGTGGAAAGACCTCAGAAAGATGAATCGCTTTAGACGTGTAAGCAGCATGCCCTAACTGGGTTAGTTTCCCCAGCAGATCACTGGCGTGTACATGGGGTGACTCTACCTTTCCCCTACATGCCCTTGTCTTTCTCCTTGTAACCAGAAAAAAATCCCTGTATCAATATGAATACAGCAGGTAGTGAGTGCACTCTCTCCCAGATATTTTCATTTCCAGCAGTACCAGGTGCTGCATGCCCTGATGCATTTCAGAAGTCCCATTATTTACCTTCTGCTTCCTCCCCCCCAGAAATGATTGCCGTTGTCTCTTCCTCTTCCAGCCCAATCCTTCAGGCCTCCTTCTCTGTCCCTCCTCAGCCCTATGTCTTGTTTTCATAGCAGCTCTTCATGCTCCTCTGGGAAGCTCACCTGCTTGGCAGCAGCATGTGAGAGCATCAGGAGAAGGGCTGGCAGGCAGAGAAAGAAACCCCACTGGAGTTCATGCACTGATCAATAGCGAAAGAAGGTCTCCCCATTTAAAGGAGGTTAATCATCTACTGGCTGCTGTTTTCATCTTTTCACAGGCACGAAGAAGCCAGATAGAGCTCTGAAAAAGGAGCACACCTCAAAAGAACAGTTTTAGGCACCTTCTTATCACTGCTGAGACAGGGTAGCAGCAGCTGCAGCAAGCTGGTACTGCTTTTCAGAAGCAGTAAGAGAAGGACGTCAGCATGGTGTTACCTCTCGAGCACCTGAAGTGTCAGAGAAGACAGAAGCCGGGTCCTCCTTCTGGTACCTGTCACAGCCGAGGGAACAGCATGTTTCCATACAGGAGGCTCAACCAGCTACCCTGACCAGAGTGAGACCACAGCCAGACTTTGAATCAGTAACAGCATGTCCCCTTCAGGATAAAGCTAGAAAAGTTCTCCTTTCTTGAAAATAGAAAGACATTTTTCACAAAGCTCACGGAAGGCTGAACCTTAAGGTTTTCAGTTCCCAATCTGTCTAGGATGGATTTTTGTTTCTATATTGTCCCTTCACTCATGCAGAAGCCACCTCATGATCACATAACTGTGTGTGATTGATGGGAGGAGCTGGGAGGAGGGTAAGTGGCGTAATTTTGCTTATGCTTTGAAATGCTCAGGGTTGGAAAAGAAGTATGAGATCTCCCTCACTTTCCCATGATTATGATTGCCTTAAAAATGCAAGATCTGTTGAAAGTAATAAATTGTTGATTGTTTGTTTAGTTTCAGGGTAGACAACAATCAGCTTTTAATCAATTTTTCATCACCACTGGAGAGCTATTAACTCTCTTAAAATAATTAGAAACCAGAAAAGAAAAATTTCCTCTAATTATTTTTATCCATGAACTGAGACTTCATGAATAAAATCTCAAGACTAATAGACACATACACACACAAAAAACACCTAGGTGGCACATCTACTTCACTTATTTAGCATGAGATACTGTTTGCCAAAGAGATGGAGAAGAAAAAGCAGAACCCTACTTATATATTTCACAAAGCCTGCCTCAGCAAGCTTTGTCCAAAGCTTTATCTCAGCCTGTGGTGAGCACTGATTGACTCATACACCTTGTCACAGCAACTTTCTAGCAGCTTTCCCCACCAATAATCCCCTGAAAATATACCCTCAGCATGCCTCCTTCAACCCTTTTGCTGCATACACCCTTACCAACACACTGGTTGTAGCTCAAATGCAGCTGTCCTTAGAGGAATACAAGTTCATGAGTGCTTCGCTAGATCCCAAGACAAGTTTTCAACAGACATTTGCCTTCTGGGATGGTGGCCGAAGTCTTACATTTTCCTAAGTTACAGTTAAGAAGGAAGCAGCCTTTGGTAGGAAGACTGGGAGGCAGACATGCTTTATAGTTATATTGCAGGAAACCTGTCCTCAAACCTGAGAAAAGATGCCCTTCTTGACAGTAGGCATGAGTCAAAAATACTTCTCAAATCTAGTAAGGGCTACCTGAACAGAAATGTAATGGACTGTAAAAAACAGATCAGACTGACTTACGGATTTTAAGGGATGACTAACTAAAGTGTGTGAGGGACTGAGCTAATTAAATAGTCCCCAATCAGGACCACAGTGACTGCATTTTATTTTATTTTTTCAATTTCCTATTGGAGATGAATTGTGATTCACTTTAAAAAGGGATTCTTCTTGTAAATCGATCAGTGTTAGACCCATTTGACCTACTAGTGTCTCTTTAAAGATTGATGAACTGAAACACAAAAGTGAAACTCTCTCACTTTAACCGTTCCCATCTGAATTTCCTGCACGATGAGATACATTTTGAAAGAGTCCCGTGGAATGGTTACATCATGAATCAAATTTTTCAGGTTATTGCACAAAGGATTTCCATAGCCTGGCAATATGCAAGGCAACCACACAACCTGAAAGAAAGCAAGGATAGTCACAGGACTGTTTTAGATGAAAATCTGCTGTTATTAAAAATGCACTACATCTCGGGGACCATAGTAGGAATTTCATAGGCCTTTCATTTTAACACTGATTACTAATTAGATGCAAAACATAACCACTAATGGAGGAAAAAGTAATAGGATCCAGAAAATCACTTACTAGATTTACTTTTCCCCCTCTCTGGGTGAAACCCCTTTCTTGCAAATGACAAGCTTCTTGGCCATGATTAGCACAACCACAATTAAGCTGATGGCTTTGAGCAAATAGGATAAATACTTGGGTAGTTCTGTTCAGCTTCATTCAGATTGTTTAATTTTGAGGAGGTGTTTGCGAGTATGAAGAGGTTTATAGCATCTTTATAGCAGAAATGCAGCGTAACTCGCTTCATATACAGGCACTACTGCTTAAAACAGAGTACATGTCCACTGGGGGTGTG